GTTGCCCGCCACCAGCAGAAAGGTAACGGTTACCGTGACCCGGCACTGCCGGCCTTCGGGGGTCGGCCCCGCGCCCCGAGTGCGGGCTGCTTGTCTCTGCCTGCCCGTCGCTTTGTGAGATCGCAGCTTCCCCGTCAGGCGCAAACTCATCCTGCCCCTTTCACAGAGGAGGACACTGAGGCGGTGGGCTTCCCGGGTCCTAGGTAAACAGGGAGGGAAGGCAGTTTCGAGGACCGAAGGGGCGGGCCGGCGGCCCGGGGGGAGGGCAGCTGCCGGGCGTCGCCGCGGGAAGCCAGAGGGCCTCCACCCTCGCCCGTCTGCCCCAGTGGTGTCCTGGCTAGACGTGTACGCTCGCGCCGCCTGCCAGCCTCGGGAGGTGGTGGTGCCCCTGGCCGTGGAGCTCGTGGGCACCGTGGCCAAGCAGCTGGTGCCCAGCTGCGTGACCGTGCGGCGCTGCGGGGGCTGCTGTCCTGACGACGGCCTGGAGTGTGTGCCCACCGGGCAGCACCAAGTCCGGATGCAGGTATGGGTGTGGGTGGGGCCCGGGGGCCGCGTGGACGCTGACGCCCTGCGGGTGGGGCCGGCGCAGAGGCCGAGGCACAGGAGGCTGGGAGGGCACCCCCTTCCCGCTGCCCCGTCCCCTCTCCCCCTCTCGCTGTCTCACGCTCGTTCTCTTGGCTCTTCTGCTGAGCGCAGATCCTCATGATACGGTACCCAAGCAGCCAGCTGGGGGAGGTGTCCCTGGAAGAACACAGCCAATGTGAATGCAGGTGCCCGCCAGGAGGCTTGGGGGTCTCGGGTACGGTGGGCCACTGCAGCGGGGACCAGGTTTCTTTTTTTCTTTTCTTTTTTAAGTTTTTTAGTCGGAGTCTCACTCTGTTGCCCAGGCTGGAGTGCAGGGGCACGCTCATGGCCAATGCAGCCTTGACCTGCTGGGCTCCGGCCATCTTTCTGCCTCAGCCTTCCAAGGAGCTGGAACTACAGGTGTGCGCCACCACACCCGGCTCATTTTTTGATTTATGGTAGAGACGAGGTCTCGCCAAGTGGCCCAGGCTGGTCTCGAACTCCTGGGCTCAGGCAGTCCTCTGCCTCCGCCTCCCAAAGTGCTGGGGTGACAGGCGTGAGCCACCATGCCTGGCGGGGATCAGGTTTCCAAGAGGAGGGCCAGTGGTAGGTCGGACCTGGGGCAAGAGAGTAGGATGCTTGGATTCCCTGATCCTCCTCTGTGTCTCTGTCCGTGTCTCTTACTTTTCAGACCAAAAAAAAGGGAGAGTGCCGTGAAGCCGGACAGGTGAGTGTCTCCGGCTCCTACTGAGGGTAGGGGTTGTAGGGTGAATCGGGAAGCTGTGGTCCCCACCCCGTTTCTCCTCCCACTGGCCTCCCCACCCCTCCTCCTCTGCTCCCCAAGTCTGTCCCTGCCCCACCTCAGCTCCCGGGAAGATTCTACCTTCCTGCCCCAGACATGTCGCTTCTCCTCCTAGGGCTGCCACGCCCCATCACCGTCCCCAGCCCCGCTCCGTTCCGGGCTGGGACCCTGCCCCTGGAGCACCCACCCCGGCTGACATCACCCGTCCCACTCCAGCCCCAGGGCTCTCTGCCCGCGCTGCACCCAGCGCCGCCAGCGCCCCGACCCCCGGACCTGCCGCTGCCGCCGCCGCAGCTTCCTCCGCTGCCAAGGGCGGGGCTTAGAGCTCAACCCAGACACCTGCAGGTGAGGCGTCGGTGGGGCGGTGCTTGTCTGGGGAGGCGGCAGGGCCTGGGCCTGGAGCCCGTCCAGGGTGAGCCAGCCAGCGGGAGGAAGGCCAGGGAGGGGAAGCTGCTGGATGCGCCCAACAAACAAGACTCGTGTTCTAACGCGGCGGAGAGACAGGGCCAGCGGGGGATGCCAGGGGCCGTGGCGAGGGGACCTTGACCTCATCGTTGAGACGTCCGAGAGCTCCTGGGGAGGTGACATCTGCCCGGAGTGGACAGGAGAGAGAGCATTTGCAGTTCACAGCTTGGGCCTTCCTAGAAGCCCCTGGGCAGACAATTGCCCTACCTTTGGGCTCTGAGAGGCCAGGGGACAGAGGGGAACCCTTGTCCACCCTTGTCTGTGCTGTTTCTTGCTACCCGTGTCCCATGGTGAGGCCCTGGGGTGGCATGCTATGGGCCAGGCCAGTGGGAGCTTCCCCGGACCGTCAGAAGAAAACGGGGTTCCCAGAAGGGAGTCGAGGAGCGAGGCTGAGGTCCAGGGGAACCGACAGCCCTTCCTTCCATCCCCAGGTGCCGAAAGCTGCGAAGGTGACACGTTGCTTTTCAGACTCAGTGGGGCCACCAGCCTCACGGGCCACTCCCGACGGGGGAAGACAGGGGAATCTGGTGAGAACAGCCCAGCCCCTGAGACCTCCACCCAGGCAGAAGCTGCTCCGGAACCCGGGCCTCTCTCAGGGCTCTCCTGCCCCCCCCGCCTCCCCGAGGCTGCCATCTCAGGGGCAGACAGGGCTGGAGGAGGCAACATGGGGGAGCACAAGGGGTCATGTGCCGGCTGGGAGGAGGGAACGCCGTTCAGCTTCAGCCGCCGCCCAAGGGAGTGACTTACAGCAGGCACCTCCTTCTCCCCACCGAGGAGAGAATGGGATTTGGACTTTGGTACGAGAACTGTGACCCCCCCAACCCTGATAAAAAGAAATGGAAGGAGCCGTCCCTGCCTGTGTCACTGCCTGTCGCTGTCCAGACCGGCTGGTTTGGGCACGAATGTCTGCTTCACTGCCTGCAAACCCAGAGCTCATCTCGCTGTGCGGATGGAGGCCGGGAGGCCTGAGGTCCACAGCAGGTCCCAGGCGGGGCTGGAATCACGTCTTCGTGTCAGGGCTGGGCGCTGTGGGGGTCAGGAAGAGCCCTGTCAGTGCGGCCTGCCTGCCCGGCTAGTGAGCTTGAGGGGGGACACAGAACTGCTGGATGACCTTGACTGTCACTGCCTCTGTCTTTTGGAACCTGTTTCCACACACGTGCACATGAAGGGAACAGATAATTGCTGTGGGTGGAGCCCTTGGGCGCCGGAGAAGCTGGAGGCTGGTTCCTTTCTTTCTTTCTTTTTTTGACTTGGAGTCTCACTGTCACCCAGGCTGGAGTACAGTGCACGCTCATGGCCACCGCAGCCTCGACCTGCTGGGCTCTGACGATCCTTCCGCCTCAGCCTTCCAGGCAGCTGGGACTACAGGTGTGCGCTATCACACCTGGCTAATCTTTTGATTTATTGTAGAGATGAGGTCTTGCCAAATTGCCCAGGCTGGTCTCAAACCCCTGGGCTCAGGCAATCCTCTCACCGTAGCTTCCCAAGTGCTGGGATTATAGGCTTGAGCCACCAAGTCCGGCCTTGGAGACTGTTTTCACATCATCAAGGAGAATGCTTGGAGCATTTGCTTTTTGTTCTCTGTGGCTTAACTCTAAAGCCACGGTGCCTGCCCTGTCACCACCCCACTCCCACCTCCCCGGAAGGCAGGCATCAAAGGTCTGTGGCTGGTGGGCCTTGTTCAGCAGACAAGCTACCCTCATCCACACTGTCCTCTTAGCCCAGCCCACACCGTCTCCTCCACCCTCCCCTCTTCAGTGGCTACTTGAGAGGCTCCTGACTCCTCTGGCCCAGCCTGAGCACAGCACACACCCTCCCCTCTGCAGCCTACAGGGCCCAGGGCTGAGTGGATGGGAGGCCAGTGTTTTGCCCTGCTGAGGCAGGACGTTTGGGACAGAGTTCACCCAGCAGCCGCCCTAAGGGAGGCTTTCTCTGAGGGGTTGGGTTGGGAGTGTGGTTGTGATCTTAACAGGCCCAAAGCAGGAGTGGGCTAAGCCAGAAGAGACAATTTTTTGAGTCAGAGTCTCAATCTGCCGTCCCAGGCTGGAGTGCAGGGGCGTGATCATGGCTACCACAGCCTTGACCTGCTGGGTTCGGACATTCTGCCTCAGCCTTCCAAGTAACTGGAACTACAGGCATGCGTCATCACGCCCAGCTAATTTTTTCATTTGTTGTAGAGACGAGGTCTTGCCAAGTTGCCCAGGCTGGTCTCGAACCCCTGGGCTCAGGCAATCCTCTCATCTTGGCTTCCCCAAATTTTGGGATTACAGGCATGGTCCACTGCACCCGGCTGGGAAGAGACAGTTCTTTTTTTGTTTGTTTATTTATTTAGAGTCAGCCTTACTCTGTCGCCCAGGCTTGAGTGCAGTGGCACTCTCGTGGCCACCACAGCCTCTACCAGCTGGGCTCAGGTGATCCTTCCCTATCAGCCTTCCAAGTAGTTGGAACTATAGGCACAAGCCACCACGCCCAGCTAATTTTTAAAAAAATTGATTGTAGAGACAAGTTCTTGCCAAGTTGCCCAGGCTGATCTCAAACCCCTGGGCTTAGGCAATCCTCTCATTGCTACCTCCCAAAGTGCTGGGATTCTGGGCATGAGTCACCGTGCCCAGCTCAGACAGTTATTACTACTTTTTTTTTTTTTTTTGAGTTGGAGTCTCACTGTCGCCCAGACTGGAGTGCAGTGGCCGCTCTCGGCCACTGCAGCCTCGACCTGCTGGGCTCCGGCAATCCTTCCGCTTCAGCCTTCCAAGTAGCTGGAACTACAGACGTACACTACCACGCCCAGCTAACTTTTTTTGATTTATTGTAGAGATGAGGTCTTGCCTGCCCAGGTGGGTCTCAAACCCGTGGGCTCAGGCAATCCACTCACCTCAGGATTACTCCATTTTTTTTTTGAGTTGGAGTCTTACTCTGATGCCTCTGGTGATCCTTCCGCCTCAGCCTTCCAAGTAGCCGGAATTACAGGCATGCGCTACCACGCCTGGCTGATTTTTTGATTTATTGTAGAGATGAGGTCTCACTGCCCAGGCGGGTCTCGAACCCGCGGGCTCAGGCAATCCACTCACCTCAGCCTCCCAAAGGCGTGGGATTACAGGCTGAGCCACCGAGCCCGGCTGATTACTACTTTTTTTATGAGTCGGGTCTCACTCTGTCACCCAGGCTGGCGTGCAGTGGTACGATTACTGCTCACTGCAGCCTCAACCTCATGGTTCAAACAATACCCCCACCTTGGCCTCCTGAGTAGCTGAGGCTGCAGCCACACACCACCACACCTGGCTAATTTATCTATTCTTTGTGGAAATGAGACCTCGCTATGTTGCCCAGGCTGGTCTTGAACTGGGCTCAAGTGATCCAGGAGTTTCATCCACCTTGGTCTCCCAAAATGCTGGGATGACAGGCGTGAGCCACCTTGCCCTGCTGGTTACAAGTTTCGAGTCACATTCTCAGCCATGATGTCACTGATGGCATCCTAGGCCAATCAGAGTGAGGTAGATGAGGGTTAGGGCTTAGAGCTACCACCTGCAAAGCCCACTCAGACCCCCCCTCGAAGGCGCACACAGTGCGTGGCAGGCACCTCGCCACATCCTCAGTTCCGACACCAGCATCGAGATCATATTCCTTTTTTGTTATGAGTTGGAGTTCACTCTGTCACCCAGACTGGAGCGTGGTGGCATGCTCTCGGCCACCTCAGCCTTGACCCGCTGGGCTCAGGCGATCCGTCCACCTCAGCCTTCCAAGTGGCTGGAACCACAGGTGTGCACCACACCCGGCTGGTTTTTAAAAAAATTTATCGTAGAGATGGAGTCTCGCCACGTTTCACAGGCTGGCCTAGAACGCCTGGGCCCAGGCTGCCCTCTGGCCTCTGTCTCCCAAAGTGCGGGGATTGCAGGCGTGAGCCACCACGCCCGGTCATCTTCCTCCTTCGACTGAAGAAAAGCCTACTGGCTTGGGGACCTGACCTCGTGTCAGCTGTCAACCTAGGCGTGGCTGCCGCTCAATTGCAGGTTCACTCCCTCAGGTGGCAGGTTGTTTTCTGGGCTCCGCCAGGTGCTGGGGCGCCTGAAATGACAGCCTGGCGAGGGATCGGGCTCGGCCAGACCAGGGCAGTCACGACCCGCGCTCAGCGTGGCGGAAGGAGGGCCTGGCTGCAGGGGAGAAGCGGGCGGGAGCCTCGCGGCGGGCCAGGGCCGGGCGTCGCACATCGTCTCGGCCTCCAGGGGCTTGTGGGGCGGGCGTCGGCAAGTCCGTGTTCCGCGTCCGTGCCGGATGCCAAGCGCCACCAAGGTCACGCAGTCAGCCAAGTGGCAGACCCGGAGTTCGAGCCTGAGCCTCGCGGGGAAGCCCAGGCTGTCTCCGCGGCGACCGTGGACCGTCGGCTGTGACGAGGCTAAGGGCAAGCAGGGGTGCCGCGGAAGAGGCCGGAGGCGACATAAGACGACGACTCGAGACCCTATGGGGGACCCACGCCCGCCCGACCTTAACATCACCTCGGCCGGCCGGAAGTGCCTGGGCCCCGTCGGAAGTCACTTTCACCCCACCTTCCGGAGGACGGTTCGCCGGAAGTAACGCACGATCACGTGGCGGCGCGGGAGGCGGGGCTCCGGAGGAGGCCGCGCCAGAGGGCGTGTGCCCGCGGTTTCGCGCGACCCAATGAGGGAGGGCGGCGTGGCCCGGGCCGGTAGCGACGAGGAGGCGCCTGCGCAAAGGCGGCGGCACCGCCGGGGTTGACTCCGGGGGCGCGGCGAGGAGGTGAGCGGGGGCCACAGCCCGGGCTGGGGGGGCGCCGGGGTGCCAGGGGGCAGGCTGGATCAGGCCGGGCAGGAACGGGCCGGGGCTCCGAGTGCCCACGAGAGCTAGGTGGCGAGGAAATTGGGGACTGGGGTCCGGCCGCCTGGAGATGCCGCAGGGGGAGGGTCCTCACGCCGCACGGGGCGGAGCCCTGGGACTCGGGGCGGGCGGGAACTCG